TTACACTCAAGTAATAAATCAAGGGCTCAGTTGGAAGTGTCTTTAAAATAACTGAGAGTGGTTTTGGTGAAATTGAGTTTGGGTTTCAAAAGCACTTTAAGTACTTTTTAAAATAAGCACCATATATGTGCTTCTTGCAGGAAGCTTTAAGTGCTTTTCTAGGTTCCTCTTGAATTTTTGCTAAGAATTGTTTTCAAAAATATTTTCACTAAAAACGTTTTCAGTTATTTTAAAAGCACTACAGGTGAAAAATAAACATCGAAAAGTATATGATTATGAAGTGTTTATGATGCCAAGTATTTTTATTTTTGGGCCGATATGGACAACATTTTGTGGGCTCTAAAAGGGCCAACAGAACATCCCCAACTTCTTCCCCACCACTACCAATCCAAATTCCCAGCCGAAGCTTCAAAGCCTTCCAAGTTCCGACTTCAACGAACCAACCACCAAGTATCTCGAATGGCGAGCAGTTTGCAGCTGCCAATCTCCATATCGTCAGCGTCTACGTCGTCGTTTAGACCCAGAAATGCTCGGAAGCTTACAGCTTTTTGCTCCGTTAACGCCAAAGCAACGGCCAAAATCCCAACTCCTCCAATAAACCCCAAGGACCCCTTTCTTTCGAGGCTCGCTGCGGTGGCTGCCAAGTCCCCGGAAACCTTGCTGAACCGGCCGCCTCAAAATTCCGACTCTCTCCCGTACTTGGATGTGTTTGATGAACCTATTCTCATGGCCACTCCTGCCCAAGTACCCCTCTCTCTCTAAGTTTTTACTTAAAAGTATGAATTGCTTCTGTTTTTGAAGGATTGAAGTGAAAATTTTGAATTAATTTGATGGGTACCATTGACATTATGGAAAGAACTTAGTTTTGTATTGGTTAAGCTGGTTTTTGTCCAAAAAGGTTTAATTTTGAATTAGTTATTTTAATGATATGGTGGTGCTAGTTGGATATTCTGGTTTTTTCACTGTATATTGATTTTTGTAATATAGTTAGTGCTGTAGTAGTAATTAATGATTTGTTTCCATGTTATTTTCGGTTAATCCGTATTTTGTTTGGTTATTAATCTTATGCTGTTCTCTGCTTGAACTAGGTGGAAAGATCGGTATCTTACAACGAGCATAGGCCCAGGAAGCCACCTCCAGACCTGCCCTCGTTGTTACTCCACGGAAGAATAGTTTATATTGGCATGCCTGTGAGTTTTTGATTCCAATATTTATATTATTGTAGATGCCATCTTATGGAAGTATCAAATTCCGCTGTCTTTTCATAGTACATGTCGTGTTTTTGGGGTGCGAATTGGGAGGCCAGAGAGCATGTCTTCGGGGCTGAGATTAAGGTTAAGGTCGTACCCAGTGCACAAGGCTCCCGCTTTACGCAGGGTCTGGGAGAGGTGAATGTCGGCTAGCCTTACCCCCATTTATGGAGAGGCTGCTCCCAAGTCTCGAACCCGAGACCTACCGCTTATGGGCGAAGACACTTGCCATCGCACCCCAAGTCTTCGGGGCTGAGATGCAAAAACAAAATGGGCGAGTGTTTGTCTTGATAAAGTAGCACTGTTTCTGAGTGTAAGCCTTGAATTGTACTGGAATTATACTGGAATAATGGCGAAACTATTCATAATAGGTTTCAATCAATCTTATTGTCACTTCGTTCGTGCATTTTGTGAAATCTGTTGAAAATTGCTCTTATGTTTCAGTTAGTGCCAGCGGTCACAGAGCTTATTGTTGCGGAATTGATGTATCTGCAATGGATGGATCCTAAACAACCTATATATATTTATATTAATTCGACGGGAACCACCCGTGATGATGGTGAAACCGTAAGTCTGGTGTTTCTGTTCAAAGGAAGATGCATATGAAATGATGTCTCTACCAATTATCTTTATCATGTATTCCAAATGCTTATTTTTCAGGTTGGCATGGAGTCAGAGGGATTTGCCATCTATGATGCTCTGATGCAGATGAAGAATGAGGTGATTCACTTTAAGAATTGTTGCACTGAGCATAATTATTGCTCTAGTTTTAGTGTTCTGGGTGTCAGTTTGGAGCTACATGAGGTGTTTCTAGATTAGCAATTGTGTTAAGGTGGAGATATGCACATGCAAGTGGAGCCACATGGAGTGTTTATTGACATTTTTATGTTCCTCTTCCTACTCCCCGGACTACATGTGCGAAGGGTTTTGGGCATTGGAAAATATGGAAATGATTTGCTTTTGTTTATGATATGAATGTTGTACGTTTTACCATAGTACATACTTGTTCTTGCTCATTCAGATACATACGGTTGCCGTTGGGGCCGCTATAGGTCAAGCATGTCTATTGCTTTCAGCAGGAACTAAGGGCAAACGATTTATGATGCCACATGCCAAAGGTATGACACATTTTGCTCTAAAAGGCTGCAATCTCAGATCTTTAAAACTTTTGTTAACTTCCTTCAATCCTGTTTCAGCAATGATCCAGCAACCTCGTGTCCCATCATCTGGACTGATGCCTGCTAGTGACGTTCTTATTCGTGCAAAAGAGGTGAATTCCTCGTTCATTTCTTTCCACCATTTAATTGTTCTTGTCCTAATCACATATTTGTGCATCACCTCTTTTTTTTCCATGGCCTCCGAACTTATTTGGAGGATTAAAAATAGGAATGTTTCTTTCACTTCGTTATTATCTGTTCATTATGCAAAATATAATGAGATGAAATTTCTGAGGGGCTGTGACGTAAGCTTTCATTTCATTTATAACATCACAATCTTTTGAATTTAATTTATTTTGTCCATTTTGTGGAAACTTTTACATTGGGTGAAGTACTTTGCAGGTAATCACAAATAGGGACATTCTCGTAAAGCTTTTGGCCAAACACACTGGAAATGTAAGCTCTCTTTATAAGATTTAATCAGCGTACGAGCAAAAGTAGGGAACTTATGTTCTCGTGTTATTTTGTATTAGTCAGAGGAGGCTGTTGCTAAAGTGATGAGAAGACCATTTTATATGGATTCCACAACTGCTAAAGAATTCGGGGTGATTGACAAGGTAAGTCCTTGTACATAGTCTTAATGTAACCTATTTCTTCAATATTTGTGGTTGACTGATCTCGGGTGGGAATACCTCCTGCAGATCCTTTGGCGTGGTCAAGAAAAGATAATGGCAGATGTAGCCTCCCCTGAGGATTGGGATAAGACAGCTGGCGTCAAAGTTGTAGATGAACTCGGTGGTCTGTAATTGAAGCAATGTGGTCGTTATAGGTAACACCTTTCCTCAGTATGCAACGATTGTCATTTTCCTCAGTATGCAACGACTGTTCATGGTTCACTAATTATAGTGCAGGGGCATGACAGGTCGATCAGTGTTTATTTTAAGTGCACAGGCTACAACGCCATTAAACTAGTTGTATCTGTGCATAAGTGTCGGCGTGATATACATGTCAGGCTGCTTTGCAACTCGAATAAAATGGCACGAATGACAGATTAACTCATGGTTATACAAGAACGTTGCAAGCTAGTGTCAATACTATTTCCGTTCTTATATGTTGTTAATGTATTTGATGGCAAGATCCTTACGGCCAGATTTCTGATCAGAACGCTTCTCTTGGTGCAGGAGTTATAACATGGATACTGTAGAAGTTACATGGTTGGTTGCTTGTTGGAGGTTCTTCGGTGATCGGCGAAGCATTAATGTAAAGAGTGCGAAATCTTCATGTGGGGAGTATAAAGATGAAGCGACAAGACAACCTGTTTATGTTCATTGTTTGAACGGAAGAGATGGAACAGTGATGCCAAAATTGCTTCTAGCACAAATCTGGACGGTGCACAAAACACGTACTATTTGAAAGTTGAATGACAACACTTCTATTGTGTTGAACGCTTTGGAAAATTTTAATATCATATCTTGACTAAGTTTTATTTTATTTTGTTTTATTTATCTTTTTTTATGAATGACATTTTGGAGGCGGTCAATTTTTTTTTCTTAAAAAAATGATCAACTGGTGGCTTCGCCATGACAGTCCACCATTTCGAGGCAGGAAAACTCAGCCTGCCATCATCGTGTTTGTGTAGAAAGCATTGTTTATGTTAAGGGAGGCAACAAACAAAGGACATACATAATTCTATTTCTGGTTAGCAATATCCAATATCTATGTTTGATTTGTCCGAAGATAATGAAATCATCTGTCTTTTTAAACGGAGTCTCATTCTAGTTCCCACCAAGGGTGGGCATTGGGTGAGTTGGTCAGGTTGGATTTTAATTCATTGGCCAACTCAATAGGTTCATGTCATTATTGAATTTGAAAACTCATTTTCACCGAAAAAATGGACGAACGAACCCACCCAAACCATTGTAAGGCGGGTTGGGTCGGACAGATTTAACAAGTTGAGATTATTTACTTTCTTTCTTATTCCTAAAGGGAGTATGAGTGACAAATAATTTAAAACATATGTAATAGTAAACTTAAACTTGTGAATTTGGTGTTGTAGAATATCTATTTGTTACTTAATACTTAAATTTTATCATGTAACTAAAGTTGTAAATAAACAAATGTGCTTAATAACTATTAAATTTTATTTCGACAAACAAAAAAAAAAAACTATTAAATTTTAGGCATATGAGTATGTAATATATACGTATGATAAAGAATTATTGATATTCGGATGAATCGTTTTTAATCGGTTAATAATATTTTAATTCAACTTAACTCACCCATTGGACGGGTGATCGGATTTCTATCCGGAAATAAATTTTTTAAAGTTTATAACTTAACCCAACCCAACAAATTTCAGTTGGATTAATCGGTAAACCCACTAACCAAAGAAAGTCGAACTTACATCATAAAATTTAAAGAATTTTAACAAAAAACTTCATGTACTGTTTACTTTAACGAAAAATAACATTTTTACATCAAAAAATCAATCCTGATACTATTCATTTTATCATTTATTTTGTTCTTAACACTTAAAAGTTTTCAAATCTCTTTTTCTTAAAATTAATTGGCAAATATAAATCTCAACCATATTTTGTGGGGGTGATGTTAGAGGAGAGGAAGAGAGCAAATGGGGAAGCCCTCTCTCTCACTACGACTGACAATCTTCCTCTCCCTCTCTCTCACTGCTTCCTACTCCATCTCAGCCTCTTCATCTTCCCCAATCTTTCCACGACGATCTTCTCCAAACCCTTCTCTCAAAGCCACTCCTTCGGACCTGCTCTCTCTGCTGGGCCCCAAGTCCCACTCTTCGTCCGTTGACCCCATTGTTGCCCAAGAACTCACTTCCTGCTTCAGATTCCTCGTACCCTTTTCGCCAATTGCCAAGAAAAATTGCCCGCCAAGTTATTTGAATCGGAAATTCTTGAGCTTGAAGCAAAAGGGTGGTGATTTGTGTCAGCGGGAGGAGAATGAGCTCGTTTGGTGGCCGCCTCGGCCGGTTTTGGAGCTGGCTCGCCTGGCTGTTGACTCCGGCGGAGACCCGGCTGCGATTCAACGCGCTTTGGATCCGACTATGGTCACTGTCAGTCTCCTCTTCATTTTTGCTTTTAGTAATTGCCAATTTCTCATGTATGTGATTGCCTTTTGCGCTTAAATTTGGGGAAAAATTGTAACTTTGGTGTAGCATTATGATAAATTGTTGCACATTGATTTCCAATTGTTCCGTAATCGGTCTTCATTGTGTTGGATTTTAGTTAGTTTGGAGATGGAACTGAAATTATGATGAATTTAAGTAATGTCTGGATTGTCTTGTTATTTTTTGCACTATGTTGTAACTAGAGGATGTTTAATTTAGTAATGTATTAGGTGCCTGATGTTGAAGGATCGAAAGAGGACAGATGCGAGCTTACTAGAACTCCGTATGGGAGACGATTCATAAGTGAGGTTTGCATCGAAAAAAATGAAACTTCAAGTTTTTGAGTTGTTCTAGTCATGAAATTAATCCTCTCTTTGAATTCATAGAGTGCTTTTCTGTTGCATTGCAGGAGTTGAATTCATATCTTGAATTTTTGTTTGAACTTATTCTTGCTCGGGGTCCCGATATTGGATTGAACGTGTCGTTGAGTCGCTATGATTTATTCCATGGACACCTTTTTCTTGCCATAGACAGTGGAAGACTTGGTATATTGTAAGTTGGTATCTTTCTTGCAGTGCCCTTTTGTCGGAACATTTGAGCTGTAATTTGCATGGCAAACAATGTTTAACCATCATCGGCTCGTTTAAGATTATGTCTTTTTATGGTTGATAGGTTCCATGCTAAAGAATACCCTGCATATGACAAGGAAGTATTTCCATACAACATGGGATACTGTCAAGTAGGTAAATCCCTATGTAACATCTTTAATTTTTCGCAATTCATAGATCTGTTTTAGCACTCGAATACTAGCCGTTCTGCCTTTGTAGTGACTTATCTGAAACTAGAAAAATTAACGAAGAAACAAGCTAAAGTTAAATCCTCCTTTCAGCATTACTAATTTGTTCCTCGAATTTTTGGTTACTCATATCAAGCAATTACACTGGTGATATATGTTGTAATACCTTGTAGTGAAACGTGTGTTACCCCTGTTGTTCTAATATCACCTCCTTTAGGGTCGAATGTGACTTATGATGATTCAATGAACTTGCGAAACATCCTCTGGCTTGCTCCATTGCCAAGCGATTCAACTAAAGCTTGGGCAGCACCAGGTACCTTTGCCTAACCAATTTGAAGAAATTAGCTTCAATGGCTATCATATCATAAACATAATGTAATGCGGCTTGTTGATTTTCAGGTGTCCTTGTAGCGCTGGATGCCCGTCCAGATGGAATCATATATAGAGATCTCATACCCGAATATGTAAATATTGCAAGGACTATATACGAAGGTGCGATATTTTATCTTGTCATATGCCATTTTTGTTTTTCTAAAATAAGTTCCTGAAGATTAAGAATACAATTTTTTCATTGGTGCTGGTCAGACGATCTTGGGGAAGTTGCAGTTGATGTGAACTACTTGGATGTTGGGAATGCGGGGTCAAAGTTTAAAATTTTTATTTGCTGATGCTCGTTTCAAGGTTCATGCCATATCCTTTCCCATCATCGACTAGTCTATTACGCAACAACGCCAAGTAACCATGTACAGAATCTCTCTTCGTTTGTACCTATTAGTCTATAAGTTTTCCTTGGTCGTTTTCTGTTCATCCAGATTGATGAAATGAGCTTCTAGTTTCCTTTCGGGCCAGTTGCAGATTATGTATCAAGGGTGATCCTCAAACGAGAGAGGGGCGATGTATGCTGGCCAGGATGATTCCTTTGGTGCTTGCAGAAAGTAGGATCCGGGAATGCGAAAGAGATTGCTTTGGTTTATTCTGGTGGCAGATTGCGAGGCAAGCAAACCGATTTCGCGAGGGATGTGATCGGCAAAGAATGTGTATTACTATTTAATTGCTTGTTTAACAAGACATTCGGGGGGCCATGAATGAAATCACTTCAAGTATTTGTTAGCAAACATTGTCCCTCACCGATGTGGGACAACTCTCAACATTTGTTACGAGGTTGAAACTTGGAATTGAATGATAAATTAGAGTTATCTGCATTGTTGGACAATTACATTGCAAACTGTTTTGGAGTTTTAACTTTCGTGGCGGAGCATTTTATCTTCGTACGCGTGATAAAATTAAGAGTTCGACTCTTGTTCTTATTTTTGCGCTGAAAGTTTCGAGTTCGATTCCTCTGTCTTATTATTACTTGCATAAAAAATAAAATATAAAACAAAAACTATAGTATTATGTCCATTAATCTATATAGGGCTTGATTTGGGCCTTTTAATCCGGCCCCCAAAATATCAAGTAATCCAAATAGAACGGGTCGGGTCCGGGTTTCTATCCGGACTCCCCCGCTAAAACAGCACCAAGGGGAGACAAACCCAGGGTTTTGTTCTCACTGGTTACTCTTGTGACCATTTTCTCAGCAACCAAACACCTTTGACAAAAAAATAAAAAATAAAAAAACACCTCATACAATCTTCAATCGCCTTCTAATCAAAATCCGTTCATTGTTTCGTCTGGAAGATTTAATTTTCGGTAAGAAGTTACTTTCTCGTCGTATCTCCTTCAATTTTCTCAGCAACCAAACACAAACTTGCACTAGTTGAGTGACATTTGCTGATTGCTGTATAGTATCTTTTTACTTATTATTTGGTATCTGTGATCTTGAATTGCATAGACGCACGATTTTTAATTGGGAAATTTTCTTTTTTCTTACTCGGATATTTTTTCCCCATTTGTTTAATTGTGAATTTGTGATGCAGAATTCGGTGTTCTATGGCTTGATTTTGGGATTATTATCTTCATATGAATTGTTAATTATTTGCCCAGTTAAATTCCTTTAATTGGTAATTATTTTGCTGCAAATTCCAGTTTTAAGATTTCTGAATAGTTTTCAGAAAGCATTGGGTGAAATTATGGATTGAAGAAAATCTGCATATAATTAGTGCTCAATGATTTGCTTATGGGATTGGCTAATGATAAGTTGGATTAGGCATTGATGTACTTGATTAAGTTTTAAACCTTTTCATGACCAATTTACCATCATGTTTTTTGCGGTTAAATTTCCATTGGATTTCTTATTTACTGTTGTTTTTTTGCTTGGCGTACGATGTTCAGATTCAAGGTTGTGCAGGCTCTAAATTGAACTATTTTACAGTCATGGCCACCGAAGAGCCAAGAGACCCGTTCAAAGGGGTGGATTGGAAAGCTGTAGGCAATGACATGCAGAAGGACCCCGGTGTTAAACCAGGGATAAAGAAGCGGCTTCCCAGAAAGATTAGGCAGATTCCAGATTGCTATTTTCTTCCTCGAAGATCCCTACCCTACAACATTGCGTTTTTTGGAGCATGCATTGCTGGTGGAATTGGTGCTGGCATGCTTTTGGAGGTCTGGATAAACAAGAAAGTTAGAGGTATGCCCTATAATTCCGATGTTAGTTTTCTTTCCTTAAGGTAGGGGTTCAACCTCTAGGGCCGAAAACAAGAGTAGGATTGAACACCTTGCGTTCTGCATACTGATCACAGGTTCTGGTCTGGTCAAGAGACAAATACAATAATTTTAGGAAAACTAATGAAAAAGGCTTGAAAACTTTGAGTTTTAACGATAAGGACAATAAAAGGTAAAGTGAATAGTACTAAAAATGTGGTTTTTCGTTAAAGTGAACAGTACCGGAACCTTTTCGTTAAAGTTCCCTTATAATTTTCACCTTTGCAAGTTTATAATGTTTTTGGTTAGATGCAATGCTAACAGTAGACAATGTATCTTTGAGCATTTTCCATGATGGGGAATTATGCACTTACGGGTTCTCGGTTTATACTGGACATCTGAACATTAGGAAATTACGAAAGATGTTATAGTAAGAAATTTGTGATCAGACTGCTTACCTTCACGGCATTGTTTGTTGTAATGCCTTAATAAGACATGTACAAGCATTTTTTGTTGTATATCAAGAGAGATGGTTACCTTAGGCACGCATTCGATCTCTTTTGGTCTGTGCATTCGATCTCTTTTGGTCTGTGCAATCAGTTTTAGCCAATCTCGGTTGTTCTGAACTGGCTTATACATATCTGATTGTTGTAAGTTTTGTCCTGCTTCGTTTATAGAGCTTATGCTAACATATTCCTGCTTCGGTGTTGCAGAGGATGGAGGCGTCATATGGGAGTTCGACAAAAAATAGCCTTAGATGGATGGAATTGTTCAATGTGACGGCATTAAAAACATCCCGCCTTCTTTCTGTACCTCTTCTCTTTCGGAATTTTCTTTAAGTCGGCATAGGCTGTGAAGCCATTGGAATTCGGTTTCTACGCCGATGTTTGCTCTTGAAATTTTTGTGTAACGACTAATGAATGAGCATACGATGTTGTTCTCACAGCCTCTTTCGGTTTGTTTCTTACAATGTTCTGCATGCTATGATTCGGATTTATATAACGGAGAATGAACCGAGGGGCAATACACTTGGGCCTGAGATGGGCCGAGTCTGGACACCTCCCATGCATTGGCCGGAAAACCGATTGTGAGTCTGTGCCATGTTTTGGGCTATGATTCTTTCAGCATTCACCAAGTAATAGTTGATTTAGTGACACAAAATCTCAATTTTTTCGTGGTGATTCTGAGTTCAAATCTACGCATTGTTTGATTGATTAGAAATTTACATTGATAATTTTTTCACTTATAATTGTCGTTTTCAATTACTAAAATTGGAGTTAGGGAGTTTATATTACTAAAATTGATAAAAATTTCAATTTATAATTGCCATTTCAAATTATCCAGGTTCGAAACTTACCCCTCGTGAATTTTGAATCCCCTCCCTCTTTATAATAATGATAATTTAAAAAAATAAAAAAATTCCCAAACACATTTGAGTTGAAAATAATATCATATCCACTGAAACAATCTATCGCTCGCAACTTTTTGAGACAGAGTTTGACAAGAAAAGACTTCTTTTTTAAGACTTGGAGAGAAACTTTTGGGATAATAACAAAAGATATTACTTTTTAAATCATATAATAATATAATTTGTTGATAATTAAATAATTAAATTAAATATTATAAACGTATTTAATTCTTATCTGTGACGCATCATATAATTTTTATATTCGGTTTAGAAAATTAACCTAACATTATCCAATAACGAATAGTATAGGCACCCCGGGCCCGGGCACAACGAACGTGAACCCAACACTCTCTATACTCGCGCTTAGGTACTCTCTCTTTCTCTTGAATCGTCTCGAACCTCAGTGTCTCTCTCTCTCTCTCTCTCTCTCTTCGATTTCTGATTCAATTGTAATGGCTGCTGCGAGGGTTGAGCGTGGCGATCTATGGAAGAGCAAGGCCCTGTCGGTGCAGCTCCGGCTCAGGCAGCGGTTCAGGGTGGAGGTGGATCGCCGCCTCCGGCACCACCCCATTTTTTCCAACGACGGTTACTTCTCCTCCACATTGCAGCGTTGGCTCGAGCGATTTCGCGACTTCCGCCGTGATTCCCTCCCTTCCTCCACCGCCTTCTACCGCAAACGAGGTCCTTTTCCTCCCTCCTTCCTTCAATTAAATTGAATTCATTTTCTTTTTATTGTAATTTTCGTTTCCGATGGATTGCAAATTTTGATTGATTTGTTTCTGTGAAGGAATTTCAATTTCCTAACTTTGTGTAGTAAAAGATTGTGTCTTACTGTTAAAAATCAGTTAGCTAACTAGCATAGATAGGAGGCAAGACTGATTATTGTTCGAATTAGCACGAATTTAAAGGTTGCATCTTGAGGACAATTTCGGGTTCGTATCGGTATAGGCTTGCATTTCGCTATGATTCCATTAGCGAAGTGAAAATCTTTTAGCTTGAAGAATTTGCAAATGTTTTTAGGAGTATTTGATTAGTTTGCGCTTTTGTAATCTACCCAAGTAAGAATCTGCGGCGGTTTTTCGGTGACAACAGTAGTATAAGGGCCATTTTTTGTATTGTGGTGCCTGCAGTGGGTAAGGATTTCAATGCTGAAGAAGAATCAATCCTTCTACGCATGCTTCAAGCTGTGGCTGTTCCGGTCATTGGCAATGTTTGTCATGTGTTTATGAATGGATTGAATCAGGTTCAGGTAGGTGAGATTGTGGGGTATTATGTGTTTTTTATTTTGTAATTTTGTATTTTGAGGGCTGCAAGAATAATGTGGGTTTTCGGGTGTCATAGGTGTATGGTGTAGAAAAATTACATGATGCCGTGCTACGCAGACCCAAAGGCAAGCCTCTTATAACGGTAACGCCCCAGCATCCTATTTACGGGTCTAAAACTTAATGCATATGAATTGATTGGCATCAGTACCATTTGCTCCTTCGCTATTTCTGGCTTCCCATTGGTAATTATGGCTACTTTTTTAATTCTCATTTCAGGTCAGCAATCATGTTGCTTCTATGGATGATCCGCTTGTTCTCTCTGCGTTGCTTCCTCGACATGTTCTTCTGGATGCTCAGAACTTGAGGTGGACACTTTGCGCGTCTGATCGTTGTTTTGCAAATCCTGTAACTTCAGCATTTTTTCGATCTGTCAAAGTCCTGCCAGTTTCTCGTGGTGATGGGATTTATCAAAAGGTATTCTTTTAATTATTTCACTAAGTTTGTTGAAGGTGTTGGGTAGTTTGTTAGTACTAGTGCTGTCATGACACGTATAATTGCAAATAAAACCAAACCTCTGCAGCATATAAGTAGTGCTTTAATGGTTATCTTCTTCTTTTCATATGTTTCTAGAAATGGGTCCTTTAGTATGATAAATCAAAAGATAGGATGCTCTTTCCTTACTTGTTTTGAACATTTCATATGTACCTTGGGTCTACGGAAGGGCTAAAAGTTATAAATTTGTCTTATAATTAATTGGCGCTTAACTGAATGATTCTGGTGCAGAATGATGGATACAGTTCTATATACTCTATATGCAGATTTTAGTTATTGATGTTTGATTTGGTTTTTGTTCTTCTATGTTTTCATCAGTCACGTTTTATTTTATTTTTTGAGTAATGACAGTGTGATAACCATGCCACGTTCTCATCTTTATGGTTTGATTGATTCAGGGAATGGATGAGGCTATTTCAAAATTGAATCAAGGTGGTTGGGTTCACATCTTCCCAGAAGGTAGTCGTTCTCGAGATGGTGGAAAAACCATGGGGTCTTCCAAGAGAGGTGTCGGGAGGTGAGGATCCGATCTCCCTTTCTTGAAAGATATATTGCTCCCTTGCTTTAATCTGTAAGCTGTAAAGAGAGTCTTCAATAGTAACTTATGGCACATTGATTAAACCAGCAATTGGATGTAGTGTTCTTTTCATTGGAACACTTTGCGGTAGTAACTATTGCGTTTTCTTACTTGGCAGGTTGGTCCTTGACGCCGACAATATTCCCATGGTTGTTCCATTTGTGCATAGCGGGATGCAGGACATTATGCCTATTGGTGCTAGCATCCCAAGGATAGGCAATACGGTAAGTCCAATACTTGCTATTATCAGTACATATTCAGTGTTGATCTGCTCAGTCTCCGTTCGATAGGGTGTAATCCTTCCAGCTAGATACTTTGATACTTAGATGTGTGCCAATTTTTAATTTTTGACACAAACAAAAAAAAACTTTTGCAAACCCGATACGACATCGGCCTTCTTGGCCCCAAAACATTTCATTTTTTTTTCCTTCTCTCTCACCTGCTTCACCGTTTCGTCTTGCATACCAAATCTCTCTCTCTCTCTCTCTCTCTCTCTCTCTCTCTCCCTCTCCCTTTCTCTCTCATCGCGAGCTCCTCGCACAAAATCTCTCTCTGGATTCAGCCAATTGAATAACCTTCCTCCTTCGTTCTCAATCCCAAATCCCCAAGTTCCGCGTGTGCCTTTACTGAAGAATAAAACTCCTCTGCAAAACTGAACTCAGAACCCAGCATGCATCATAGCCGATGGAAACCGCACCTGCATACCAAATCTCTCTCTCTCTCTCTCTCTCTCTCTCTCATCGCGAGCTCCGCACACGAAATCTCTCTCTAGATTCAGCCAATTGAATAACCTTCCTCCTTCATTCTCGATCCCAAATCCCCAAGTTCTGCGTGTGCCTTTACCGAAGAATAAAACTCCTCTGCAAAACTGAACCCAGAACCCAGAACCCAGCATGCATCATAGCAAATGGAAACCGCACCACGCCCTCAACTCATCACCACCACATGTCTCTTTCGATCTCTGTCTCGTTCCTATAAAAAATCTACCCAACCACCAAAATCCACGAAACACCGAGTTCTCTTGTCCAGAGGGTTTAATTTTTTATTTTAAAATAGGGGCTGTTATTACTACATAGCAGTGAGGTTCATATAAAAAACAGTAAAATTTGTGTTTATGTAATTACTAAATTGTCCATAATTGTTAATTCTGTTTTGTTTTGATTAGAGGGTTAGAATTATAATTTCATAGGGTGGTTGACAAACAGGGTTCTATTAATATGTAGTTTATATATTGTTCAGCTTACTGTTTTCACATATAATTGGACAATGTAGGTAACGGTGGTTATTGGCGATCCAATCTACTTCGATGATTTGTTGAATTCTGAAGGAGCTAAGCATGTATCAAGAGGAAAGCTGTACGATGCTGTATCTTCAAGGATTGGTCATAGACTAAGCGAACTGAAAGTTCAGGTCGACAAATTAGCTCAAGTAACTCGGTCACAAAATCTTCCTGCGCAGAACACAGACCGAGCTGCAGTGATTTTGCAGCATGTTGATTGGGAATCATTCGGAATGGGGAACCTTACATCTTCCGAAGATGATGGTTCACCGGTGCAAGAAACTGAGATCCAACTAGCTGCTCCTCCCCATACGCAAGAACCCCGGTCTGCTGATTGGAGTTACAGAGTGGGTTTCTCCCGTGAAGGTGGCTTTGCATCACGGATGCGTAGTTTCATGGACCAGAGTGAGTTTATGGGTTTCGCAGCCAGAGGCATATTTATGAACCGTAGAGTCCAAGAAACCTCTCCGAGCGGCCGAGGGGTTGGTCCGTTGAAAGCATGGAGACGATACTTGGAGGCCAATGTATTACCACAATGGAATTAGTTCCAACATAAATCTGGCAAAGGCTTATGTAAATTAAAATTTTGGTGTTCATCATAAAAGAACTGAAATTTTGGTTGAAAATTTTCCGTTTGTTATGAAGTATCAAGCTTTGGTTTAGAACGTTTTCAATACCAAAATGGTTAAAGTTTCCTATTAGTGGTGTGTTTTTAGGACGTTTTGTTTATATGTATTGTTTGAAAGTGCTTTTATCTATCATTAACATGTCACCTGCATTGTTAAAATTATCGATACCTTGACTACATCATTACGTCACTTGATAAGGTCTATTGAACAAGACATGAAACCCAGCCTCATAATCCAAGACTTACAAGCACTTGCATCTCTGACCAATAACACATTATGTATGGAAAAAAAAAAAAAAACATTGCGTTATTTGTTTGAGAGATCACCAAAGTGACGGTGAAAGTAATCACTAGAGTTCTTCATCCAAGTTATCCTCATAAAGGTCTAATGATCGAACGGATCAGATCATATCACTCATTGACCCCAGTAGGTTTTAGTGGTTACAAAGCCATCCTCACCACTCAAAATCAT